TATACTTGTTTTTTAAATGTACTGCTTAGCTATGGGCCAGAGTTTTGTTTAGCATACACTGCCTAGGAGAGTGTGGTACTTGCAGACATCAATTGAAATTGTGACATGAAAGAACCATTGTCTTTGGCAAAGCAGCTGCGCTCTTAAGCTGACAACACTGACTTAAGCTGCTATTAATTAAAAAATGGTTGTGAACTGTTGTCATATTCAAACAGTATTTTAACCCACCCATATTTTATTGAAGGTAAACCTTTCCACTGTGTTCTGTATTGTATTTGTCCTTTGCGAATAAATGAAGGATATTGACTTTAAGCTTTGAGCTAAAGTGATATCTGTTTTGTCAGATATTTTATGTCCATGAAGGTAGCAGGTTGGTATAGCAGGAGCAGACTGCTAACGAGGTCTGTATGGTGGAACTGCTCAGACAAAATTTTTGGGTCCTGTTGTATTAAAAGAGTGTGTGAATATGCGTTCATACTAGAGTTTGAACAGGCTGGCATGTCAGAACTTGTCAGAGGGAAGTACAAAAGTGTATGAAAGAAAACATTGTCCTCTTGGGAATGTTGGGAGGAAAACTACCTCATTCAGTTTTAATTACACCTATTAACACTGCTCACTGTAAAAGGCTTCCTGATGATGCTATTGCCAAGCGTGTTTTTCAGGACTTTGTATACATTTCAAGTGAGCTGAGGTTTAAACTTGCTCTATAGGTTCCTATGCTGTGATTAAGGAGGTGAAAAAGGAGGTGATAAACAGCCAAGCACCTTGTGTGAGAGTGTGAATGGCCTGGAAACTGCTGCAACATTGCATAACCACAGAGTGTGTTTAGTTAAAAGAATGGCAGAGTAGATAGTGAAAACAAGATACTATCAGGCTTTTATTTCGGGTTTACAAGTAGTCTATTTTAATTCAGGCTAGAATGACTTTTTCCTTGTTTTCTGACACGTCTGTTTCATAATGCTGGAGTCGGGAAGAAATGGCATGGTGACAGTGAAAATTAGAAATGTGAATGTGGGTGAAATAGTAACCAATGTTCCTTCTACTGTAGAAGCATTATATAAAAAAGAAAAAAGAAAAAAAGCATTGTGTTAATGGATAGCTCAGCAAATACCATTTATATAATGCATTTGTCTGCACCCAGCAGTGTGGAGATGGTCGAAGTAATTAGGAATGAGGATTTTTGTGTCTTGGCAACCTAAAGGCAAAAATCATCACTGTTCAGAACAGTGTTAAATTGAACACCCTGCTTTGCAACTGGTATGTACTGTAAAGTGTACCGGTGTGTTGGGGAGAAAAGAGAAGCTGCATAGACATGGTTATGGACTGTTGCTGCCTGAAATGGGGAAGAAGAGCAGATAATGTGTAAAGGGAGTATTTGATAAAGTTAAGAAGCAGGGGTTTTGCCTTTGGGTGAAGGAAACAAAATGCAAAGAATAAGTTTAAATTGTTTGCTTGAACAGAAATATCAGGACCGTACGTACTCTGACACTGCCATGGGTGGGAGTGCTTACAGGGAGAATTGATGGATGAAACAAAAAAAAGCAGTAGTGTAGACATGATCAGTGTCATATACACAGTGAATTGAAATTTAAAACCACTGGGTGCCTTGAGACAGATGGGCTTTCACAGGTGAGCTTTGGTAAAGCTTTCAGTGGAAGCTGGGCACGGCACCCTGGTTTGTCTGCCCCATTTCCTTGCTGGAAACAGCTGCTTCCTTTTAGCTGAACTGGGAGAAGAGGATGTGCCATCACACCATAGCTTAGGGTTCCAGTGAATGAGCCTGAATCCTCAGTAGACAAGTTAGCTGGTAACACTGTAAAACCAAAACCAAGTATGAGTCCAAACCCTTAGTCTTGTTTAGGGTGCCCTCAGAATCAATTGTCAGGTTCTGAAGGTGGTGTGATTTTTATGCTAAGGACTGTGACTAAGAAAGCGTAAGGTAAAGTAGGTCTTCAGGCTCTAGGTGCTCAAAGTTGGCTAGCTATACTTCTTAAATCTGAATTAAAGCTAGAAAAGTACTCAGGTTTATCTGTGTTGCATTATAATTTTTCATGCAAGGTATTGTTGGAGGTTTTTCAGTGGGTTTTAATTTTGGCTAAACCTGATCATGTTACAAACTGATTTTAGGAGGCCTGGAGTTGCTGATACATGTAGCTTGAGAGGGACGCAACAAGGCCTGCCTGCTGGAGCTGTGGGTATTCTCAAGGGTGCCCAGCCCTTCTCTTTGCATCTTTAAAATACAAAGCAGGGGCTGGGAAATCCCCTCACGCTTTCTGGAGTCTGCAGTTGCATACAGCAGAAATAGCACAAATACATGCACAGGGAGTGCCTGGGCCTGGTTAGAATGAGGGTGAAGTGCTCTAAAAGAGGTTGTGTAAGGTTATGTCAGACCTGACAATTGAGAAACGGTACTGGATTTATTTAAGCGAGGTGGTGTAAGTAAATACCAACTAACTAATCTGAGAATAAAGAAACACTAGACTAAACTGTATGGAAAAGTACCTTCTCTTCTGTGAACTTGGGGATGCTTTAGCAGCCAGGAAGAGAGAGATGCAGGAGCGATGGTGGGTAAAGCACTTAAATTGGGAAAGGAAGGTCATGGTTCATGTTCTTATTCTGCTCCCTTCACCTATTTGGACAAGTGATATTAATACGGAAAGTGTCACTTGTTCTGAAATGGGAAGGAGTGTGTGTGTGTCTTAGGGGAGGTAGGAAGGTCTGTTTTATCTTAAGCTACATAATGCTTTTAGAGATTATGACTCACTGATAAATGAGCATGTGTATTATGGCAGTGTCCTGTCAGTGTTTTTTTTCCTAGGGAAATTGAGCGGGTCAGGATTTGCTTTCACTTCTGCAGGGACGCACTATGCTCTAGGTTTGGTAATCCTTGCCCTTCCCTTTTTGTTAATGTATCCATAATGTACAAGTGTTCCTCCTTTATTGCTGTTTGGTGTTTGACAGCTTTTTTTACACTTTCTAATAGTACTGAATCTGGTATTTGGCTGAGGCTTCCTTTGAAAAATGAGACTATGCCAATAACTAAGGAGGGGGAAAATTTTTTTCATTAATAATTCTGACTTGTTGGGAGCATAATACTAATAATCAGTACAAGGTAGGGACTTTCAGGATATCTTAGAGTAGAATTTACACAATTGTCACACAAATATAGTGGTTTTTGTTGTGGATTTTTTTGAGAACTAGTTAATTTGCTATAACAAGGGCTCAGAACGTGAGCAGCCCCATCTGCAGACATCTAGAATGACACAGCTTGAATGCAAGATGATATTATCTTTTTAATAAGTGGCTTTCTGAATTTTCTTTATTTAGATTTTGTCTTTAGAATCCCATGTTCTTTTGCAACTTGTATTTTCTGAAGCCTGGAAATCAGCCCAGGTGCTGCTGTACCTCCCTTTCCCGATAGAGAGAGCTCATTTTCTACCTGGTCATTTAAGCTCTAGAAAAGCTTGTCCTCCACTGTAGTCCTCTGAAACCTCTGCTTTATAATGAAGCAGAAGATGTAGCTATTTTAAGTTTCCTTGATAGCAAAGTGAGCTGAAATTCCCAGGATGTACTGCTTTTTTAACTGAGTTAATGTAAAAAGTTGAGGGGCTGGACCAGTTCGTGGAAATGATTCAAATATGAAAAACCATCTGCACAGGAGAAGTTGCAGTTCATTATATTTGGAGAGCATGGATTTCTTAGAGCAGCTTTGCTGTCAAAACAAGCATGTTGTGTAAGTACACTCTCAGTGAAACCCTAACTTGTTTGCTAATAGATTGTGCAGTAATTATTTCTACTGTGGTCTACCATTTGTATGGCTGTTGGTTAGTTGGTCATTTTGCAATAACACATTGAATGTGTGAGATTGTTTTGCCAATCGACGGGGATAGCACAGAGGACACAGGCACCAAAAAAAAAATAAACTTATTTTTACTTATGTCCAAAGTGACAAAGTAATGAGGAAAATAGTACAGAGAAAATAAAGCAAGATAAGGTAAAGCAGCAGCAAGACAACAAGCAAACTACTATAGCAAGCACAAAATAAGGTAATGCACCTGATCATTACTACATAGAGTTAGCGATAGTGATTAAGAAAGATTCATCACCAATTGCCCTATATTACCATCATCCAGATCCGCAGGCGCTGGGGGACCTGTTTACAGTGAACGATTTGGAGAACTCATCCCGGCGACTGGTAAATCTCTATACAGTGCGTCCACTGTATAGAGGAGGCTTCCAAATTTCCCTGCAAATGGTCCCCACTTTTATACGGCTAAATAAACAATTTTATATCTTAAGTTGCGAAAAACATCTGGTGTAGGTTTTTTTCCCTTGTTAACTTTTTCCTGTGCTTGGCCAGAACCCGAGAAAAAGTTAAGAAGAAGTAAAGGTATCTGGTTATCTTTGATTATGCATCTCTAAACAATGCCCATCACCGCCCTGCTACCTTCTGTCATGTAGAGGTCTGTGTGAAGGTTTGAGATAGGTATATCTCTTTTGGCAAGTGGGGCTACAGTTACGCAACTATTATCTTACAGCAAAAAAATGGATGCTTGTTGATAAATATGAAGCCGTTGACTCATTTATGCTTGTGTATTACCTCTGTAAAGCACCTCTTAGGTCAGATGTCATTTTACTAGATTAAAGAGCTGACTAATAAAATATAGTGCAAATGGCTTTATTCTGTAATTGTTGCTCGGATGGGGTAGCGTTTAGGAGCTGTCTTTGACCATCAGTTGCCTCTAATGGTGGGTTTGATCCTATACCTGTTGTTCCCTGGGTGGTTCCCAAATCTGCAGATGTCTTTGTTCCTGCCTTTTATTTAATGCAGAAACTGATCACAGCGCTTAATTTGTACTTGAATTACTTTTTGAATTATTTGGTCTCTTGTTTTATTGGCAGAATTCATTTCAGATGAAAGACTGAAGTGAAGGATCCAATGTAATTTTAGTTGTTTTTGTAATCTGATCTTAATTTGCTTAAATATCTTGTGTACACAGTGAGGACCTAGGAGAATTCATGGAGGTGAAAGGTGCCAACAGCCCTGGGATCCTTGTACTGACCACAGGCCTCAGCAAACCTTTTATGCGTCTGGATAAATACCCCACGTTACTCAAAGAACTTGAAAGGCACATGGAGGTATATCTTATCAGCATTTATGTTCCAGCTTAATGATGATTTGACAACAATTATTTTAAAGGTACATGTCAAACATGATGGGACCCAAAATTAAATTTTCTGCTCTTCTCTCAGCCTTCTGAAATAAGGCCTGCAATGGTTTAAAACTTAGTGCAGTAAAACTTCCTGTAAAAGCTAAGCGTTTAAAGTAAAACTACCTAGAGAAGCTAATCTTCACTCCTAGAAAAATCCTGCAGGGTCCTAGAACAGTCTTGCAGGCTCTTGGGTTGACATGACATTGAATGTGTCTCCTGCATACTACTTGAGGGTACTTTATCATATAGGAGTACTGCTTCTCATTTTAGGACCTTAGTGTGTCAGACACATCACCAAAATAGTCCCTTTGACTACTACTGAACACTGTCCAAAAATGATCTTTCCAATATAGGAAGGTGTTAGAGGAGCTGCTGTTTCCTCCTTTTTGTTTTACAGGTTAGATTTTTTGGAGTGTGAATGAGGGAGAGAAATAGAAAGTCTTTGTCTTGTCTCACAATTTGGTTTGTCAGTCAGTGACAACAGAAAATACTAGTTTGTAAGGAATCTAGTTTGTGACAAAGCTAACATGCCAAATAAAACTCTTTATAAAATAAACACTTTCCTGTGATGATTTCACAATCTCCTGTCCACTAGGTCTTGTAAAACTTCCTTGGCTCTATCTTAAGCCGAAGTAGGAATGTTATAAGTGACTGTTTTTACTAGGAGCCACCAGTGTTTTATACAAGAATAAGAAGGCTGGGAAAAGAGAGCAGATAGCTCTACAACGTCTATTTTACAGAATTGTTTATTTGTTTTTAGTTAAGCCTCTAAAAATTTTGTATTAATTTTACTAGAACTAAAGTTTTTGTTTTATGTTTTCTCTGTTGCTTTTAGGATTATCATCCAGATCGTCCAGATATTCAAAAATCCATGACTGCCTTCAAAAATCTTTCTGTAAGAGTGCTCAAAAATAGATGATATATTTTAAGTAGAATTTTTTTTTAATTTCATACTCCTCTATTGCTTTAGAAAAGTGAAGCTTTTTTGTAAAAGTTTGTATAAGACATTTTTGAAAGCCTGGAGATTGATGCTGTGTTTGGGCAGAGCTAAGGATCGTAATTTGCTGGGGAGTTATAGCAAATAGGCTATTGATGTAAGAGCCACGCAAGCATTCTGCACCTCTTGGTCTGCCCTCTCACTCGTGTTTTGTCTCTGTTTCTACTAGTACATACTTAGTATCCTGAAGAAGGGCTTCTTTACAGCAAGTGTATCTTCTGAGGTTTTTCTAAAGCGCATTCCTTTTAGGGGAATGGTGTTGGGGTTGTGGGAAGGAGAATGAAGGGGAAAGTGCTAGTGAAGTTCAGAAGACATGAAACTTTAGTAATAATTGGAGTAGGAAGCCTAATTTGAACAGATGAGCTGACCGTTATTGTCTTTTTTTTTTTTTTAAAAGTCAACTTCAATAAGCATATATTTAATGCAGTCTCAGTTACAATAAACTATTAAATGTTTTGTGTTTCCTGTTAGGAGTGCGTGCTGGTGTTAACCTGGCATTTTCTATTTTTCATTTTTTAAAGCATAAATTTAGTGTTATCTGTGTTCAGAAGAGGTTTGGGGATCCCGTTATGTTGGGTGCTTTACAAACAAGAAGAAACAATTCTTGTTGAGAAAAATTCAAATGAATGGGAGTACTGCTAGTAGAGCAGTATGTACACATTCAATATAAACAGGAACAGAAGGTTATATGCACTCATAGTTTGCACAACTGGCATGGCTGTTTTTACTTAAGAAAGATACTTTATTGTATAGTCATGTGTATTCCTAAGAGTTGTGTTGCTCTTTTCTTCTGAGCCTAGCCATTTTTAGTTGGAAGTACAAAAATTTAAAATGTGAAGAAAGGAGAAATCTGAGAAACAAAGATATGACTGTGAATTTGGAATGGTAACTGAAGTCAGTGTATTGAAAGGAAAAGTAATAATATTGAAGTTAGCAAAACTAGTTTTATAAGAAATATTGGTAATAGTCATCAAAATGAAAATGCTTCAAGCTAGGTGCTGTATTCCGTGTACTACAAGTACAAAAGTAAATACAACTCTACTGGTATTTCTGTCTTTAGCCTGCTCCAAATGGATAGAGTTGATAGAGGTGGTATTTTTCCCTATGTTTGTTAGGCACAATGTCAAGAAGTACGGAAACGGAAAGAACTTGAGCTACAAATACTGACGGAAGCTATCCGTTGTTGGGAGGGAGAGGATATTAAAACACTTGGCAACGTGATTTACATGTCCCAGGTCATGATTCAGTGTGCGGGAAGTGAGGTAATGTCCTTCTCATCTTTACTGTCAGTTTTTCTTTCCATTTTGAATAAAATTAATTCTAATCATTATGCAGCAGAAATAAACACAATGCTTCAGGGGTACGAATCTAGACTAAAATCTTTCTCTACTCATTCAAGGCTTTTATTACAAAACGTGAAATAAATTTCCTTGAAGATGGATGGTCTCATCTGTAAAATTTACTGAAACCGAATATAGCAGTTACAAACATTGTAAGATGATTTTGCAGGACTATTTTCAAATTGCATAATTATACACGGGATTTTCCATGTGTAGTTATCAGGATCATTTTGCATAGCAGTTACTATGGTGTGTTTTAAATAACAAAAACTTCGAAGTTTTGTATTCTAAGGTGTCTGATGCACACTTTTGCATCATTGTTTTGGGCACTTTTGCTCAAGTAGTAAATTTTGAAATAGAAGCTTAAGAAGTGGTTTTGGAGAAATAGAATAAAAAGAGGCATTAGAAAGTCGAAGGTGACACTGCAGAGTCTGGGATGATTTTTTTTATAACAAAACAAAACAAACCACAGAAAGAAAAGGTGGTCCTACCAGAAGTAATGTTGAAATAATCTTGAAAGTAAAAAAGCAAGTGCTAAGGGAAGGGAAGTGTTATACAGATTACTGACATGGTTTTTACTGTCAGTTACTTCTTTCTAAAATCAATGAAGCTTTGAACTTGGTCAGGGCTTTTGAATTGCGACCTTGTTCAGTCAGTTTCCTCCCTCAGAACAAAGATGTCCATAAATATGAAGAAAGAGAAAAGCATTTATGCAAGTGAATATTTCAGAATTCGTCACCTGATATTTTTCTCTCTGATGTTTTGTTAGGTGTTGAAATAAATAAAAGATTCAGTAGAGCTGACAGTGCATCTTCTGCAGTCATGTGTCTTCTTGTACTCTTAAAAACAACACCAAACGAAACACCACCCACTCCCCACTTTCGTCAGGAACTAAAATGTCAAGTGTAATGGACTTTTTAGAAGTTTTTGCATAGCATAGCTTTTTGACTAGATAAAGAACAACTTATTTTGTGCAAAAGCAATTGGTTTTGGTTTTGTCTTTTTTAAAATTATATTGACTTTTTTAAAGGTTTACTGAAAAACAAATAGAAACATTCAAATTTGGTAGGGACTTGTATTGTTTTGCAAAGGTGTTTGAAATGGAGATGGTTGCTTTGTCAGTGGATGTATTTGTTTTGTCATTAAAATTGAAACATTATACCTTAATGCTTCTCTCTTTCGGTGTTTGTCTATAGATTGAGAGTAAACCTTCTTCTCCTCCTTCTGCTCCTACATAAAAATACACCCAAAACAAAAAACTAAGGAGAACTACAAAAGTGAAACCAGCAAATTAAAACCAGAATAAAGTAATACGAGGTTTTGTTGTGATTATAAGCATTATTATTTTTTGTTTATCTTCTTTTTCTACTTTGGGGCATAATCCAAAATCACAGAAAAGTCTGATCTTTCCAGTTTACGAGACCATGGTCTTGATGTTCCTGTAACAGCATCTGTCTAAATTATATTAAGAAATATATCCAATGTGGTGTAACTTTGGTTCTGCTGAAATTGGCAGAACAGTTGTTATCATATTTAAACAAGGTCAGTATTTCACCAAGACTGTACAATTTCAGTTTTAAAATATTAGACTGTAATCCCTAGGAAGAAGTATAGGCATGTGTTACTACCACTTTTAAAACATGCATCAATTTTAAAACAGAAAATTGAATAATTATGCCTTTTTCTTTCTTTTAAAACTCTATGGGGAGTTAATTTTGCCAGGAGCAAATATTTGTGGAGCAATTATGGAGTTGTAACATTGATGGTAGTTTTTAATAATATAAAACAGAAAAAGGCGGAAAGGGAGCTTGTGATGTTGTATTTATGTTTTCATTTTCTTTTTTTTGATAAGGAAAAGAATGAAAGGTATCTTCTTCTCTTCCCTAACATTTTGCTAATGTTGTCTGCCAGCCCAAGAATGAGTGGGTTTATCTATCAGGTAAAGTAGTTCATGTACATATGTGTATGAATGCACTGGGGGGTGGCTTTTTTCTAAATAGTATTTCATAGAAAACTTGGAAGTATTGTTAAATTTTGGCATTTATAAAGATGAAAGGTAATTTCTGCAATAAGAGCTGGTCATCTGTTTAATAAAATTCTGGGCTAGAAGCCTGAGTGTGATTTTTGCAGCTGTGACTATCAGCAAGGGTTTTTTTTGGTTGGTTTTTTTTTTTTTTTTTAGTATTGTTAGTACTAGCTGATGAGAGGAAGTATCAGTAGCTTTTTAGATTACATAAGAGAATGATGCTGCCGTACAGGTTTATTAGTGCTCTTCTGGCTGCTGCTTGAGTCTTGCCAAAACTATGCAGCACTCCTAAGCTTGCATTAATGTGCATTAGGCTGTCCTACCATCTGTTTCTTTAGGTGTGTCTACAGTAGTGTTTTATCTTTGATTCAGCAGAGTACTTCTGAAATGAATCATCTTGTTTTTCCTGTTTACTGATATTTGAGTTGTAGCATGGACATAGTCTCAGGGCTCAAATGGGACTCCCTCTGGATGAAGGTGAATTGGAAGGTGTGCTTCAAAAGTGCACTCATTCTGCTACAACTACTGGAGCAGATCAAGTACATGGATTGGCGTTCAGTCCATGGCCACAGCCCTAGAGCTGGCCAAGTGTAACACCACCTGAAATGCATACTGTGTGGCCTTCAGGTCCTTAGCACCAGGTGTTTCCCTTCACAAATCCACTACTTGCTGCTGGTAAACATGGTCTTTGAGCTCTCTAGCAAGTTTCCCAGCTGAACAGTACTTGGCTGTTCTCCCACTACGGAAGTAGAGCAGCTCTGCTGTAGTGCCCAAGGATCAGTGCTTATTGGGTTCGCTCCTCTGTAGCTCTAGGAGACGTTTTGCAGAAGCACTTACATTTTGGGTGTGTAATTTCAAAGACCCCCGAGAGGCAAAACTAAAGCAAATGCACAGTCCATGAGTTTCTGAAATCTTTTTTCAAGTGTTGTAATTTGGTTTCCAGACATCACAGTAAAACACGAAAAGTTCTAAAAGGATCCTGAGATTTCACCTGCCCTAAGTACTGCTGTAAATCAGGCTCTTGAGCAGTTTGTTCCTTTTTCCTGAGCAGTGATTTGCCTGCTGTGAAGGAATACTGAAACATAGTCATTTGGGGTTCCTACATGATCAGCTACATCCAGTCACAGACTATGTGACTTAATTTAAAGAGCAATTAAATTCCATAATTCATGTTTGGATTCATATCTTACCTGCTTTGGTAGTAGCTAGATTTGTCTGAGAATGTGTTGCATTAGATGGTTCAAATGCACAATCAAGTTTCTCTTTGCTTTATGCTGCTCTTCAGAATTTTTGGTCAGTGCTTCATCCCAACTCAGATGTATTAGAAAAGGCAGGTGAGCTCTGTATCTCAGGTGGCACATCCAGAATTCTTGATGAAGGAAGATTCTTGTGTACTGGTTACAAAGGCAACTGACTGGAAATTTTGTGTGTTAAAAACAAACAAACAATACAAAATTAGACAATCTGTCAGGCTTAATTTTGCTCTCTCCCACCTTGTCCCCCAGGTGCACAGCACTGTTCAGTAAATAAGCAATTTTCTGTCTTCAGCTTCTGCTCAGTACAGCCACAGCCTTTTCTTAGTGATTGCTGTCCAACTTTCTGTTGAATGCAAAACTTAATTTCCTAATAACCTCTCATGCTGTTTTCACAAATCTCAAATACTAGTTACTGCATATTCATAGCAAGGCAAAATTACTTCATTGTTTGTGTCTGTCTGGATTGCATAACATGGGCTACTTGGTCTTTCCTTCTAAGTTCTTGTCTCAGAACTGGGATGGATACAGGCAAAAGATAGCGCAGCTCCCTCAGTCATTCCCAGGGAAATGATGGCACTGGAGCTGGAATTCTACACTACACCCTCCCTGTGTTTCTGCATATTCCAGCGAGTGTGCTTCAGGTGTTCTGGTTGATAGTGCTGATATCTACCACATGAAATAATTGAGAGAACTTTTAGCAGAGATAAACTAAGTTACAAGGGGCACAAACCATACTTTACAAGATGGCTTCTCAGTTTTGTTGAAAGGCAATATAGATGATTCATTAGTTCAGTTCCATTTTCTGTGTGTTGCTGACTTAGTACTTCTCTGCGTGTACCTCATGTGATCTTCGTTCTGTCACTGGTTCTTTTGCTTGGTATATCCCCATATTCCCTCTTCACCTACGTCAGTAGTTTTTGCACCTCTGTTTCGTTGTGGCTGTAAGCTGTGTTATTCATGAACCAGCAAACATGGCAAAACAGAGGGGAGAATTTTAGCCTGCATTGGACTGCACAATACCACCATGTTTCCTTCACTGGGGAAACTGTTGCAAAAAAACCTCTTCCTTTCTCTTTGGCCTCTTGGGCTTGAGCATGCTCAGTGCATACAGAATATCAAGTGATTTTTAGTTTCCAAGCTTCTAAGAAGCCTTTGTCCATTCTGCAGTCATTAGGAAAGAGAAAAAAAAGTGTTGTGGGGGTTTTTTTCCTTCCATTGGAGCCAAAATTCCACAGGACATAGTATTTACACTTTTGCCAGCATGTGCTGAATAGGGTTTCTGTGCAGGAGAATACAGGATCTGTCTTAAAGAACTTAAATAATAAAGTTGCATTTTTGGTAAATTCTTTTCATCCTGACAATATTCAGTCTTATTTATTTTTCTGTATTTCTAAAGGGTCAGAAAGTTATCCTAAACTGCCCTTTTTTTTATTCCAGCTTGACTGGGTTTAAAATGAGAGGCTAGCTTCTGCAAAAATATGTTCTTCTGAAACTTTACATTAGAGGTGTTTTTACTGATTTTGTTTTCTTTCCCCAAATATTTCTGTGAGTGAATTTAGTAGTGGGATTATTAGAGACATAAATCTTCAGGAAGTAATTGATGCATTTGTTTAGTGAAATTTTCCTTTCTAAATCTACTTGTACCACAAACCTTATTTTGAGTGTTAATCAGTTTATAAACAAAGATGAGTCACCATTGCCTCTAATCAGGTAACATGGATGACCCTGAAGGTCTCAGTTCCAAGAACCTGAGGCTATGGTGAGTGACCACTATTACATTTGTATGGATTTCATAGCCTGCACAGGTATCAAATAGACGCAGTGGAGTCACAGGTGTCATTTGCAGAAGTTGGGCATATTGAAAACTTCCATTGTGAGGTGTTTGTATGGATTTTTAAATGTTTTTAAACCCATCAGTGTGTGTGTTTGCCGATTTACTGTGTATGTCTTTATTCATTGCCTTAAGTTTACATATTCTTTACTTGGCAATGTTTTTATATGTTTTGAATTTAACTGTAGTGCTACTGCTTTTTTTTAGGGAAAACTGCCAATGACAGGAATGACTATCACAAAGCTAGATGACAGTGAAAACCATAAAAATGCATTTGAAATATCAGGTATTGACTGTAAATATTTTTATTTACTACTTCCTCCAGGATATGCTATTTCAAACATCAGATGCTCTGTCTGAACAGAGGGAAAAACTTTTTCGTTGTGTGGGTGACCAAGCACCGGCACAGGTTGCTTGGAGAGATCTCCATCCTTGGAGATACTCAACAGCTGTCTAGCCACAGTCCTGGGCAACTGACTCTAGGTGTCTGTGGTTGAGCAGGTGTGTGGATGACCTACAGAGGTCCCTTCCAGCATCAACTATTCTGTGATTATACAAATTTTGTAAGGCAGCTACCTAGAGCCTCACTTGACAGCTGCTTTTTACTGCTTTGTCTTAAAGCAGTTAACGAACTGTCTTTGCACAGGATTCATCCCCAGATTTCTGTATTGCAGTGAATGGAGGTGGTAGTCTTAGAAAAGGTCCTTTGTAATGAAGCAGTTCAAAGTATGCTGCTTACTGGAAGAAAAGAAATTGATATTGTGCTTACTTTGGGTAATTTCTGTCTGTTAAGTCATTTGTTTCAGGATGTACCTTTTTTCCTTGGGGGATTTAAAAGATAGTGGGAGCAGGGTCTGCATGGTGGAATTTCATATCTTCATTCATCATTCATTTCCTGGATCAATTCTACCTCCAAGCAGGTTACCTTTAAGTAATTTTGACGCTTTCAGGTGGCAGGCAGTATCACACATTAGTTCTATGAGGCAGAGGAAAGAAGCTGTTGATGGTCCATGTTCTTCTGAGATAATAGCTATGAAGCTGACCTCAAATGAGGAATATGATGGGTTACAATGGAGTTAAGTGGAGAAATTAAATTAATCTTTGGTTAAGATTGCTTTCCCAAGTGACTTTTGCTTGAGCTTTAGAACTAGATTCAGACTAGCTTTATGCCTTTTTTCTGAGAGAAGATCAGTGAACTGTGTTTTATTTCTCCTATATTGTAGCTTAGACTCAAGAATTACATTTTAGGCTATATGCTAGCTTTCCTGGGGAAGATGGAGAAGCGCAAAGCTACTAGAAGAGCCTGCATCCTGCATCTATTTCTTATCGTTAAAGGTTGTGTATAGTTATTAGAGGTGGAGAAAAAAGATAGAACTCCTATGCTTGGTATAGGAACAAATATAGAGAAAATGTCTGCTACAACCTGGAAGAGCGAGATGCTGTTGTACTGAAAATACAGGTTAAAATCTCTGCGTAGTACTTAGGGGATATAATGTTTTAGGAAATGAATGCCTTCAAAATCATGTCAGGTGGACTAACTTGTTTTTCTCTAGTTTCCTACATCTTCTCTTTTCTGTCACCTAGGAAATATGATTGAAAGGATACTAGTGTCTTGTAACAACCAACAAGACTTGCATGAATGGGTGGATCACCTGCAGAAGCAAACCAAAGTCACAACTGTTGGGAATCCCACCATTAAACCTCACTCTGTGCCATCTCATACAGTAAGAAATAGTTTTTGAATTGAAGTGAATGAGCAGTGGATGCAGGATTAGGTTGTCTGGCAAATATGCCACTGTGTAAAACATTTTTTTTAGCCATTAGCAACAAGAACTGAATACTGTGTCGCTAGTTTAATGGGTGAAAAAATCATTCTGGTTTTAATCTAGAGAACAAAGAATAAAATGCTTAAATCTTGATGTAATAGTTTTAACAGGGTTAAGGAGAATTCCTTATCATTACTTTTTCTATTTTGCCCAAGTAATACATCACCATCTTTTAAGTGTCCTTAGGTTTTAATTGGTGATGTACTTGGCAGACTCTGGAGAAACAATTTCCTTAAATACCTTCTTGGAGTGGTTTTGAACCCCTGGCTAGCAGCCAGACAACACAACAACTGCTCACTCACCCTCCCTCCTCCCAGGGATGGGGGAAAGAAAAAGGGGTGAAAGGAAAAGACTCATGGGTTGAGATAACAACGATTTAATAACTAAACTACAATAATACTGAAAATATTAATAATATATACAAATGAGTGATACACAGTAAACTGCACATGACCTGGTTACCAAGGCTCAGCCATTCCTGGCTAACAATCCCAGAGCAGGGAGAGTCCTGAAACCGCAATCCCAGAACTGAGGTAAGAGCCTGGGTATCCAAGAGCTGACTAAGGGAGGGAGATGACCCTGGGAGAGGGACCACGTGGAGAGAACTGACCCAGAAAGAGAGAGAACTTCCAGACAGATCCTGACTTATATACTTACTGGGCATGATGTGCATGATATGGAATATACCATGGGGCAATTTGGGTCTCAGTACTAAATCTAAGATCAAATCCTAGGCTTGTAGTGGGGGATGTGCTCCCTCCCATCTTCTCCTGTGCCTGCAGACACTGGCACAGAAGAGAAGCTGAAAAGTCCTCGACTGTCCTGGCAACAACTATAAACATCAGTGTGTTATCAGCTGCCTTCTCAGCACAAACCCAAAACATAGCCTCACACTAGCTACAATGAAGAAAGATAACCCTCTCCCAGCTGAAACCAGGACACTTCTTTTGGGTTCTGCATTTGAGTTGTTGGATATGAATGAATCTAAATTTAGCTCTGTCCTTAGTGGTGAGAGAAGTGGGAGCAGGGCTGCTCTAATGAACAGAAGCACTAGATAGCGAGTGAGATTTTCACCAGTTCTTGATGATATTATGTCTTCATTAGGATAATATGCTTTCTTTTCCTTCACATCATCTTTGTGTCTTTGACAGCTTCCTTCCCATCCAGTAACACCCTCCAGCAAGCATTCAGACAGCAAGCAAATACCACTGACTCCTGCATACCACACTCTCCCTCATCCGTCACATCATGGGACTCCACATACCACGATAAACTGGGGGCCTCTGGAACCTCCGAAAACCCCCAAGCCTTGGAGTCTGAGCTGCTTACGGCCTGCACCTCCTTTACGGCCTTCAGCAGCTCTTTGTTATAAAGAGGTGAGATGCAGCAGCCAAGAAATCTAACTTTGTAGCAGACCTACAATGGGAAGTTTAACTTTCTTTTCACACATCACCATGTTACAGTTTTGTGCAGTTTTTTATGTAAACATAATTTAACAGTCAATGCTGACTCAATGGTAGTGGACTAGTGAATGCTGTTTATTTCAAGCAGGAATTTAGTCTTGCAGTTCAGAAAGTACTATGGTTTGTTAGGAGAGGCTTCCCCTGGCTCCCCCAGATGCTTCTGCTTATTTCCACTCTTTATCCAGTTAATAAATAAGATTTTTTAAATTATTATTATTATTTTTAAACCAGCAATTCCTTTGTAATGTTGATCATCCAGGCTTATTGCAAAGTAAGTTATTTGCTAAGCACACTGCATAGTATCTAGGGTAAGGGATGGATGTTGTGCTTCAAAGCACTGTATCAAATAATTCTAAACAGTTGTGGTGGTATAATTGACTCTTGGTTCCTTGGTATTTACCACTGCTACTAGGTAACAATAGCATAGTTAAAAAAAGAAAGAATGGTAACTGTCAAAATATATGTAGTGTTTTTGTACTCAAATTTGATGGCTAATGTTACTATTAGCAAAAAAAAAAAGCTTAGATTTTAAGTGCTGATTTAGTTTTTAATTAGCATATGGTATGAAACAGGAATCTGTTCCAAGAGAAATAAAATGTGATGGTTTTTAACCACAAAAAGATTGTGGTAGGTTAATTTGGTCCTGTCGCTACATTTTGCGTGGTTTTGTAAATAATAAGAAAATGTTAGATCTGTGTGTGTATGTAAGGAGACGAATATTGGATGCTCTGTGGCTTGGTGATATCTCCTGTTTCAGTATCTTTGTTGTGCGTCGTGATACTAATTTAGTGTGAAGCAGTAGGGCCCAGAAAGAATTATGCAATTATGCCTAAGAAGATTTTATTCTGCAAGCAGGAAATGCTGAGAGAAAACTTTAATTCTGCAGATGTGTGAATTGCAGTTTCTTAGGAATTGTAGCCTAAACACTGTGTCCCAGTGTGGCCTGGCTGTGGTTTTTTTTTTTTTTTGTGATGGCTGTGTGTGTGACTTTATTTTCTTTTGTAAATCCCCTGAGCAAATGAGAAAAAGTGATACATGATTTGCAATTGGAAGGTTAGTATTTAGGCGTAGTTATTACAAGAGGTTCTTCTGTCTGGCTGTACTGTATGCTCATTTTGTAATTTAAGTTAAATTCCTTTCATGTTTTCATGCGTAGTGCACTAAATTCTCCAGTGTGGTAAAATTTCAGTCATCTTTACAGTGTTTAGCGTACAGTGATGTTCAAAACACACCTTCATCTTCTTTGGTCTGTCCTGCTCATTCACCTTTTTACTTTCTTGTTCTGTGTTTTTATAGAGGATGTCTTGTATTCTTAAGGTAAGGGGTAGACCAGTATATTCCTATTGTTCCTGTAACCTAGCACTGTTCCTGTAAATGATGATTAGCATGATCACATTTTGAGAAGAAATGCTGTATTTATTGGTGTATTATTTTTTTGCTGTAGAGCTTTGTAAGAACAGACCTAAACATTTACAAAAAATCTGGCTTTGAAGAGTATACTACTTGCCAAGCTTCTTTGTTAGGACCTTTTTTACCTGCTTCTAAGTAGACAGGTGAAATGGGTTGTCTCTTAAAAAGTTAAGGAAAAAAACCTGTGTTAATGTATGCCTGCCTCTTCCCTTTGCTCTAGCTCCCAAACAGCCTGCATGCTTTTGCAGCAACTTTTCTGTATATTTCTGTTAATAGAACAGATAAAATATCTGACTTTGTGTATGGTTGGAGGAAGGGTAGAGAGACAATCAGCCAGTTCAGGCAAATGAGATGTGTCAAAAAAACCAATATTATTAAACTGAATTTTGTTTCTGTTAAAAGATTTTTTTAGTTAGTAACTCCTGTATGTGTCTTAGAAGTTAAACTTTTGAAATATGGTAGAGAAGCTGTACTCTCTTTTATTTTCCTCACACAGGATCTCAGTAAAAGCCCTAAAACCATGAAAAAGCTGCTTCCCAAGCGCAAGCCAGAACGGAAGCCGTCAGATGAAGAGTTTGCACTGAGAAAAAGTAAGAGAGACCTGAAGAAATGTCTGTGTAATACAAAGGCTGTAATTAACAGTTTAAATTCTGTGAAAGTTAGATGTACAGTGTAAACAAGTTGTCTGGTCTCCTCTCTCCTGTCAGGGGAGGGGGGGTAGGTATCTCCAGAGGATGGTTTGTTCTCTTCATCTTAGGTGCTTATGTCACGATGGGATTAGTTGCTGTCTAGAGTCTTGCTGTTGATTACAGTGAATGTATGCCTGTGAAGTGCCTGTTGCTCTCTGTTTGCTAGAGAGGGAAGTGAGGTTGACTATAGAGCCCTGTAAAGTTCAGTAAGGTAAACTTGTCTTTTAATACTGTAAGCAACAATTTAAAGATACTATCCCACTTTTGCAGAGTACTTGGTAGTTATGTTAAGTCGATCCTGGTAGGAGCTGTCTGCAGAGCTGGGTGTTGGAAGGCTCGGTATTGCTTCTTCTTCAAAGACTAATTGCTTCCACGGTCACTCTTTCTAAGATCCAACAGTCTGTTCTGATCTCCTAGAAATAAGGTCATTTGCTAGTGTATGTGTCCAGATAAATTGGAAAGCTTTAGATTGCTTGAAGTCTGAAGAATAGCACTGAACTGAGAGAGATTGATGAATGTATAGAAAAACAGAAGGGTCAAAAATCTAGATGTTGGAATAATTTGGGCTGGAGGAAACATTGATGTTGTCTATCAAACACAATATTCATTTAGTTTATTAGTCAGTGTCACTCTAATTCTTCCTTATAAATTTGTGTGAATGAATAGTTCAATTACCTTGTCTTTTACTTATACAAGTATTTAATATGTTGCTACATTCTAACCACAATGAAATATAGTTATTTTTTCTCCCTTGAAAGAGAAATAACCTGTACCTTGGAGTACTTGCGTCTCTTAAACAGTGAGGAAACTGTATTGGGTCAAGATGGTTGCTTCAACAGTTAGCGTGGCAGTTGATCCCAACAAATGTTTGGACAGTTGACTTTGTTCACATGATAATAAATCACAAAAACTAACAGGATGCATTTGCTGGCAGAAATGCTGTTGTATTTTGATGTTGAAGGTAGTCCAGATAAATGCAGCGGAAGATCTTTGAGACTAGTTTTTCCTTAGGCTTTGGAGGAAGGAAAACAGGAAAAATACATGTAGACTCCTGGTTCCATCTAAACTAATGGTGAAGGTACCTCTAGATTTCAGTTTGACTGGAATTTCACTCTGTTGCAAGTGAACAATTTGGCAGCATTTTTACTGAATTCCCCAAGGAGAAGATTTGCTGTGGAGCTCTATCTTTGGGAAAATTTTGCCATGTTAAGCTTGAATAGTTATTTTTTTTCAATAGTGCTGTTTCTGCTTTAAAGTCTTGAGAAGTTTAGTTACTGCACTTTTCACAAATAAGCTTATGTGATAGGGACATCTTTACGTCTGCACGCTGAACTGAAATTGTGCTGATGTATTTATTATTATGTTAATTCTGAGTTTAATTTTCCATAGGGTGCTGTTAAAAGGAGTAAACCTGATATATTTTAGGTTATAGATAGATATAGATAGATATATATGCAGAAGAAATGAAAAAGTTTTCAAGATTTCAGTGAATTAATATTCTGTTCATTTATTTCTTTGATTAAATAATGAAATAATGTGTATATAACAACTGGGGTATGCAGGTTTTTTCAGTTTAATGGCTGTTTGTTTTAGAACTAGAGTGATCAGACTTCAAAGCATGTTCTGTGCAACTTCAGATGCTCAGAAAATTTCTTAAATATGCAGATAATTACTCTGACCTAGGGCTTTTCCCAAACATTTCAAAATAATATTTTGTCTTTTTAAACTTACTTTTGCTCATTAAAGTTTGATTTTTAAAATGGGATGATTAAAAGAATTTTAAAGGGTTGATTAGGCTGAATTTTGATCTCAATTGAAATGTAGTCATTTACAAAGGCTTTTCTGTGTTGAGAAACGTAACTGTGTTTAAAATTCTATTTTTCCCATTGATTCTAGGTACAGCTGCTTTAGAAGAAGATGCTCAAATTCTTAAAGTCATTGAAGCATATTGCACAAGTGCCAAAACACGTCAAACACTAAACTCAAGTAAGTTGGAAAATACTGAAATGGCTAATCGAAACATAAATTAGATAGTTTGCAAAGTAGCAAGCTGGACCTGGAAGAAATAGTAACCAGTTTCTGGCTTAGTATCAGTGCTGCATGTTTAAGTATTGGATGCCAAGTTCCATGGTTAGAGACTATAATTCTTTCAGTACTTAAAAAAGCCTAAACAACCAACCAACCAAAAAAAACCACAAAAAAAACCCCCCACAAACCAGAAGTGGCTACTTGTCATAGTTCAAAATGGAACAAAACCTTCAGCAATGATGAGAGGTATTTGAACTGAATATGACACTTGATCAGTATGCTTTTTGCTAAATTTCAAGAAGCTGGTAAGTAGTGAGGAGGAATGGAGAACAAGTCATAACTTCGTAGAAGTGTATTTTTGTCATGTTCTTTTCAACAAAGACTACCGCTATGGAAAAGTAACTTAGACCTGTAAGCATTTCTTTTCTTTTATTGCCACTGTTTGTTTTTAGTATTAATTACAAATTTTAATCCCATCTCGTAATTTCAGGAGAAATTGTTTGCAGATCTGTGTGTTGCTTAAAGCCACTTTTAGTTTCTCAGATCATTACCTAGCTTATTGAAAACCTGTAACGTGCCTCTGGGGTCCTACTTCATTTAACCCAAATCAAGGTTGCCATGTGGAGTTCCTCTGTATTGTAAGTAAAACGTTGTGCAAAGCAGGGGAGTCCACAAGCATGTGTTACATTTACACAAGGAAGGAGAAAATGCTGTTGTGTTTGTTCCGATTTGCACAGTTTTTGCCCTGTTGAGTACTGCTTTAATTCAGGGATCCTTGGAACACAGTATAATGATCCTGAAGTACTTGTCTGGTTTTGCTCTTGTCAGGAGCTAGAAGAGTGGACATTGTAACTTACTCCTTGTTCACTAAGGCTATTTAAATTTGCAGTACTAATCACTGTTACTGCTCCCCACAGTGCCCTGTGCCTGTTTTGCTTCCAAGCAAAAGCACTTTGTGCTGACAGTTGGAAAGTCTTGAAACACACTTTGCAAACATAGTTCATGGATTTTCCTAATACATATTCACTTACTGTTATCACCTCAGAAAAATCTAGCTACTTTGCATGTACTTTAAAATGGGAATATGGCCCTTCTATTAGACTGTAGAAACTTCTGAAGTAGCAGCAAAAACCTTCATTTTAATTTTTCTGTCTTGATGAACTGAAGGTCTCAGAGGTGATAAAATTGTCTATTTCATAAATCAGCTATTACATATTTTTTATTAATATTAATCTATTTTACAGCCTTACAGTCATAACAGTATTGTGTTTAATTGGATAAAAGGAAATGAATGTGTTCAAAGTTCTGAAGATATACTGTTGTTCCAAACAAAATTAAATTAGAAGATTGCTGTTTAAATGTCTCAACTGATCTGTTGATTATTTCCAAGGAAAATGTGACAAGAAATGGTTGGGGAAACATTTGCACTTGCACGGTAGTGTGTGTGTGCGCAGGTATAAAATGGATATAATTTTTTTTGCTTTTTTGCTTCTTTTTTTTATTTTCTATGTATATTTAAGAAATATACATAGTGCTGTGGGTTTCATTGCATACATCAGAAGTCAGTAGCTTTTATTTGCTCTTAATTGCAGCAAGAAATAATTTTTTTATTGATTAAGCACATGGCTGCTTTGTTTGGAAGGAATAGTCTCCCCAAGAGGCTGTCATCTGAGACTTTAAGCTTCAGAAGATCCGCTTGTGGACTGGAATTGGAAATGGGGAAAAAACCAATCATGCTGGAATTGCCTCTGTGGGAGCAGTAGTCAGTGTAGCAGAATAGAATGAAAGAGTTGCCTGTCATATGTGAAGTACACCCTTTTTTTACTTCTTTCTTAACTCAGTGTTAATATTTGGCCTGTCCCTCATAGCACTCATTTGGCAATTCTCCTACCTGCACCTTAATGCAAAGCCCAAGGGGCGCTGCTTTTGACTATTTCAGTTCAGTGGAGCTGTGGCACCAGTGCAAAGTGGTAGGGAGTGGCATTAGAGTTAGCAGAGCAACTTTTGTAAGTTGTTTGGGTGGGGAAGATGATTTAATTTGGGGAGACATGCGAATAAAAGAAGAGAGTGTCAATTTCTCCTGCTTCTTATATACTGAGTCTATTTTACATTTCTGCTCCGAATGAAGGCTTAAAATCTTTTGCGATATCATGTGTATGGTGGCTCACAGCAGGGCCACTTCATTATTTCAGTCCTTGGATATTGCCAGGCCTTTAAAAAAAAAAAAAAAAGAGAGAGAGAGAAGAAATGTCCTTGGCTGTTTGACCAGCTACTCCAGACATCTTAGTGTTTAATTGGGAAGGTAGATTCAGACAGGGGCATGTAGGAGGAGGTGTGTGAGGGGTTGGAATGGACCAGACTGTTGCTGTTAGGCTCTTGGCCCTGTTATTCTGTGAGTGAGTTTACTAGGTGGTTGAAAAAATAAGGGGTACAGGCACAGAAAAGCTGTACCTTGATGGTCCCCATGAGTGGGTGCAAGACGTTGCTGCTGATTTAGGTCGGCAGCCCTGCTCTGCATGAGAACCTTTGCTTTTTCCCCTGCATTTTCCCCTTTACAGTGGTGACACAAGCACTTCTGTGGCTGTGTTGTGAGCTGGTGGGGAAATAACCTGCTTGAAAAATAATCTTTTGTAGAGTTAGTTTTCATCTGAAACTGTTCCCTGACCTGGCTCACCAAACAGCTGTACAAATGCCTGTGTCATTGCAAGGGAGGGAGAGGATGGAGGTACAGATGTGTGGTGGGAAAGGGGCTGTTGCACATGAGCACTGGATCATGCTGGCTTACTGTGTTTACTGCTCTGTCCCCAGTCAAATCCCCCCAGACCAGAACTGACTCCGTACTTCAAAAGAACTTAAACTCCCTCTTCCAAAAAATCTACTTTCAAACAAGATTTTGGTTATTGAAAATTTGCAACTGAGGCTTCTTAGATGCTTAAAAACGACTTTAAAAATTATATTTTAACAGTCCAAACACTATTACATGTTGAGTGTAATTTATACATAAATCCCAAAAATTAAAAAAAAAAAAGAAAAGAAAAAAAACTTTGGTGCCTTTTTAACAATATTTTCTCTTTTCCTTCTCTTCCCATCACCTTTTTGCTTTTATTTCATGTGTTTGGTTGTGGCTATTCCTTACGTTCTCCTCCTCATCCCACCTCTGCCTATCCACATCCACCATTTCATTTCACCTGTACATCCTTAGCATGGCAAGGCACTGACCTGATGCATAATCACGTCTTGGCTGATGATGACCAATCAAGTCTAGACTCCTTGGGTCGTCGCAGTAGTCTTTCTCGTTTGGAGCCTTCAGACCTCTCAGAAGACTCTGACTATGACAGTATATGGACAGCCCATAGTTACAGAATGGGGTCTACATCTCGTAAGAGCTGTTGCTCATATATCTCTCACCAGAACTAATGCACTTCTGAGCTTTTTCTTAACAAATGCTTGTTGTATCACAGCCTGCTTTTCTTAGATGTTTTCTTGCTGTTCCTTGTCTCTTTGATGTGATATTTTAACAAACTTCTGAGGGAGCTTCTGAAACTTCAGTTATACCTGGTGGAAGTCTCTTGCCAATTCAATACACGTACAAAGAAGTAATTCTAAAAAGTGTATATCCTGTTAAGGATGATATTTCTTGAGAGTATTTTTTAACTGACAGATGTTAATTTGTAGCTCTGAATATTTTGGTTTTGTTTTTGTTATTTCTTTTGACTTGGTCAGTGTAGCAACAGGTCTTTTCTTCCTTTTTTTTTTTTAATTTTATTTTTTATTTTATTTTGGATACAGGACATTTTTGTATTTTGTACTGATACCATACTGGTTTGTAAGCCAAGTGCCAGCAATATGGAAATACCTTAGCAGTAGCAGTTGGATTTTCTACATATTATTAACAAAATACAAAGCTGGTAGAGTAAGAAAAATGCAGCTTAAAAATGAGCAGTACAAGAGCTGTAAAATCATTCAGATATTCACATATCTGGCCCATTTGTTTAGAAGAGCATTTGCTAATCCATAAAAATTTCTGGTTTTATACTTTTCCTCATTGCTTAGACATTTATAAAAAAGAACCACACTGCTCTCCTCCCCCCCAGTCCAGTCTGGCAGTTGTCATGAAAACCTGGCAGTCCATGCTCATTACATGCAGTGTTTTGATAATTTCATGTTACCTGTGGTCATACTGTCACTTACTGTATGCAGTAGTGTGGCAGAAAGCAGGGTCTCGATCTTTACTTGCCTGTTAAAATACACAGCTGACAACCCTCAATTGACCATTCTTCTTGAAAAGACGAGATGAAAGTGGTTCCCCTGATGGAGGCTCAAGTGTTCAGCATCTGAAACTCTAGGTACAACTGCGATCACATTGGCTTGTTTGGAGTTCTGAATAATAGAATGCTTGGCTTTGGGGTTGTACTGTTTGGAGCATGTCTGACAGATTTTTATTGTGTCTTGTAACTTCTCTCACAAGCAGGTTTGTTTTCAGCAGCAGCTCTTCACTTACAGTCACGTTGACTTTTCAGGGAACTGTGACATACTGTGCACAGCTGAAGGTCTCCAACCTGCACCTGGGGCACTGCTGGGGTGAAGTGTGTGTGTGTTGTGTCTTGTGGATAACATAATTGGCATAGAAACAAAAATTACATGTTTTCTAGATGTTAATTAGCATTAGGGAAAAGCATGTGATAAAAGGACACAGTTCTCATTTTTAACAGGGTCCCCACATGCAATTCCCTTACTCCTTTTCGAGTAAGCATGTTATCCAGTGTTCAGGTATTACTTTGTGAACAAATTCAGAATAATGATGCTATTAACTTGATCACACTGTTTAAAAGTTAATCAATACCTTTCTGCAGGTTACATGATCAGAAAGTTAGTAGTTGCTAGACACGCGTGATTCCAGAAGGTGGTCTGCGTGGAGAAGCTATTTCAAAGCAGTTCACATCTGCAGATTTGCATTCAGTCTTGTTTGATCACCTGCTTTATCCTCTGTCACTGTTTGTTGGCATTCAAAAATGTGACTAACAAAAGCAGCGGTGCTTACAGAGGGGGGTTTTCAGGGCTACATTTTACTAGTAGTCATATTTAACATAATGAACAGGAACTTGTGTATGTTGAACTTTAAACTGGAGGAGTGTTGCTTAGAGAAATGAGATAAGTACATGTGCTCCATACCATTCCACAGTGCATTTGTAACCCACTTCACTCCCCTCTTCCTTTCAGTCAGTTTGTTTTTTTCTTTTAACATTTATGGAAAGTATGGATTGTTCTTTTTCCTGTTTCTTAAGCTGTGGTGTTCTGGTTGAATAATGTTTTCTGCATTGGATAAATGATAAATCCTTTATGTCTGTTTCATGTTATATAGTGTAAATATGAGTTTGAAATACAGTTGTTGCACTTGAACTTTCCTTATCACACAGAATGTTTTGTTATCAAGATCTGAAGATTTTATTGACTTTCTATGCACCAAAGCTTTGACAGTTTACCACCATTAATTATTGTAGCACTTAAGTAATTAACTATTATCATAATTGGGATCTCTCATATTAACATCACTGTACATTTAATATCATTCCATGTCTTCAGTGTTACAAGCCATAAGCTGTTGTGAACTGATCAGGAGTATTAACACGACACACTTAAAAAGGAAAAAAAAAAAAAAAGGCAAATGTGGAAATGGTGGTATTCAGTCCAAAGGTTCAGTGTTTCTATTTTTGTGGAACTTTAGTCATGGTAATAATAGTACCTTATGTTTATGCAATTCTGTAAATTATATGTGTACAGTTACAAATACACCTGAAGGATGGAGAATCTGAATTAGAAGGTAGGTTCAAGCCATTGTCAGCCCCTCTTCACAGTGTTTCCATAAATTAGTATTTGCCATAAATTGAAATCAACCATTATTAATTGTGTGTTTTGCATAATCTTGCCAAAACACAGTAATGTGTATATAGTGACGTAAGGCATAGAAAAAAAAATATATATTGTGCACATCATTTGTGAATGGGAGAAGCCATCTTGAGTAGGTGACTGCCTTTTGAAAATACAAAATGGATGTATATCTGAATGTTGCATTGTACTGTACAGTATGCTTATTGTTTGTGGTTGCATATATCAGTTAAGTGTTTTGTTTTATATAAAAGGGACATCTGTTATGTACAGTTGAAATAAATTTTGCATTTGCTAGACTGTGACTTTAATATTTAATTATTACACAGGGGGAAAGGACAGCATAACTTGTCAGTTAACACTTACTCCCTCTTCTCCCCATGCCTCCTTTCTATCCCTCCCATATTCCCAGAGGAATCAAATTCTGGAGTGAAAGAGCTTTTTTGGCATAAGTGTATAAGCTTTGTTTGATGTAGTTGACAACTACAAGAAATTCAATATAATGTGAAGTATCTATCCTTCTGTATCCTCTTTTTTTAAAATAACTATTGAGAGATGTTGCCATCTGTAGAAGGTTCTTCTGTTGCCTCCCTCTCTCCTTAATTGATTTTATTTTCTTCTTCATTTTTTGAATTGGTGAATTCTTACTAAAAGCACAGGCTGAATTATTGGAACAATCTAAAACCTACTTCTGCAGGTCCTGTTACCAGGGAGAAATCATATGAGAATGATAATGGTTTCTATAATCTTACATATTTTCAAGATGTAATATTGCAACATTTTTATCTTTAAAGTAAGAATTATCTTCAGTGTTTCTACTTAAAAGATGCTCATAGTTGAGTGGGTTTAAATAAAACAATAACCTAATATACATACTAAAATGTTTACATCAGAATAAACAAAGTAATTGCCTACTTCTATTAAAAAGTCGTAACATTTATTTTCTAAAATTGTAGCAACTCTAGTTTTAGCCCTACAGCCTTCTGGTTGGAAGTTTTTGTATTGATTAGTATAGTATAGGAGGTTTAGTGGGATAGCTTTTTTCCAAATGTTGTCTTAAAAATATTCCACTTCTTCAAAGTGTACCTGTCTTTCAAACTCTTCATTCTGTTCTTATATAACTAACACTGTTGAGTTGTGTGTGTTTCAGTCTGCTTTAATTATTTTCATTTTACTTGTCAAAACGTTTTGCTGTGAACTGTATGGATCTGTCATCTGAGTCGTGGGGTTTCTTCCCATTTTTATATTACTATTAGTTAAAAAAACCCAAACAACTTCATGCCAAATAATTTGTTGTTACTCCCAAGAATTTGCAAACAACTATGTCTTTTATACAATGAACTTAATTTGGCCTGATGTTTGGATTCTGATGTGTTGTTCTCTGTACAAAGATATTAAGGGCTCCATTTTGACTCTGGCAGATCTGTAGCATGAAGGGGTGTTAGGGTTTCTTTTTTTTGTTTGTTTTTCAATATTTTAATCTTGATGCGCACAGAGTCTGGGAGGACCATTTTTAGGATTCTTCATACTAGGAACTCACCAAAGATTCATTGAGAAAGAGAAGGTTAATTTGTCAGGTCTGCTCATCCACTTCAGCATCTTAAATATAACTCATGCAGTGAAACACTGGATGTTTTAAATGACAGTTCTTATTTTTTTGTAATATTTGCTTCTCCAGGAAATTTATATGTCTGTATGGAGTGATGGCTCATGGTAGATCTAAACAGTTGTGTGTGTGCACATAACTTGTTTTTTAGTGGCAAGTCGCACTTCTGTCTTTGAAACTCAGGCAAATAATTTTGAAGATCTTCTTAGCTTATGAAGAGAGCCTAGTAAAATTGATGTAAAACAGAACTGTATATTTACAAGTACTGTTTCTAATTTTTTACCTTTATTGTGCCTTGTTCCCCTCCTTACCTCTCCTAGTCACAATAAAGGGATGAAAAAGGGAAGAAAACGGCAATACTTAAAAGCTGTGCAACAGAATAATTGCTGATGGCCTCAAATTATGCCCAGCATTTTAAAAAATAAACTACCATCACTGTGGGTCTAACTTCCATAGCTTAAATTAGGACTTGCATAGTCACTGGAAAAAGGCAAACTCTTTGGAGAGTATCAGTGTGAAAGTACCTGGATTGAGCCTTCTCCTCTAGGCAGCCAACTGGAGGAAGGAATCATGTTCTTGATCGACTGGGGAGACCTGGCTTTTAACTGAGGCCCTGAGGTTAGCTACTTTAAGTAGGTGATGTGAATACCCACATCCATTTTACTGTTGGCTTAAAGTGGTTCCTGGACAGAAAAGATCTTTGAACATAGGCAGAGACTTAATATCTGGTTGAAGTAAAAAGTTATCTGAATTTCATCCCCCTTCTCTTCCTTCACTTCTGCCTGATGTCTTAAGATCTGTGCAAAACTTCTGGACTCTTTTAACATGTCTGCTAAACATTCAGAAGGAAGGACCAGACTGATTACCAAATACAGATCCTTCTGAAGCCTGGCTTATGTCAGGAACCAGCATGGTACCATATCAACTGGTTTTTAAGGTGTCGCACTCCCTTTGGAGGAGAGTGAATAAAAGGCTGGGATTGCACAGTTAGGCTTGCAAGCAGGCATCACTGAGAACCTCTGGGGCATTCAGACTGCGTTCTAGTTTCTTCCTGTTCTGGTGTTAAGACTGTACTCCATGGTTAGGAGTGATGTTCAGCCACTTTCAGAGAGGTATAAAGTGAACATCTGTCATGAATCTTTCAGCCGCATAAGTATCCAAACAGGTTTCAGCTTTCCTTTTTTTCCAGAAATGCTCAGAACTGCTTGCTGGTGTAGCTGATTGATCAGGCTGGGAAGGGGATCAGACACTGAAAACTGAAAGCAGGGGTCTATTATCCCCAGGCCTGTTCTTGTATGTCAGGTGTTGCACCACATTACATTAGTGGCTATTCCTTAGGACTCTAGCCCTGGTCTGAATGCCATGTGGGCTATGTTATTATTTGCTGTGCTCTGGAGGCTAAATTTGCTAAACCTAAATTTAGGATATGGTATTGACAAAAAGCATTGTAATTCTTTATTCTCCACTCTAGGTCTGGGAGATATTAATATTGAATAGATAACTTTATTTCTTTGGTTGCATTTAATTGATGGAAACTTAGTTGAACCTGGATCATAGTGGTCAGCTGTTTTGGCTTTGCTTTAATTACACAACAAACTAATAAATAGTGCGGTATTTCATTCTTTCAAGACCCTGAATTTAGGCATTCCCCATCAAAAAGTTACAGCAGCTTCCTCAACCTTAACATTTTTTCACTAATCTTAAAGTAATTGTCTGGGTTTGCCAGACATCCTTTCTTCTCTCATCCACTTTACTTCCTCCAATACCCCTCAAAAAAAGAAAAGAAAAGAAAATGAAACTGTTTTGTAAAGCTTTGGGTAGGGTTTTTTCTTAATTTCTTTTATTTTTTTAAAGTGGTACTTCTGGTTGTGTTGTCTCTCACAGGTGATTTACGGCCAGAGCTGTTGGAGATCAATTTAAACATTGTCTTTTTGCCTGTTTGCCTTGGAAGGAGACTGAGTAGCATCTCTTAATAAAATTCAGTGTGAAACTTGCATGTTTAGGATTGAGGAATGGCAGATAAAAGCAAACTGAAGTAACTTGATTCTTCTGCATTACTTCATGAAAATATGTGGAATACATCTCAAAGAGGTGCTTAGGATTACCTAACTTGCAGCAACTTCCTGGACGATCCTCTTAGTACAGCTCTATGTGAAGCTCTGTGTGAAATACCCACTGTGCTATAACACAATCCTGTCTTCATGTCCTAAAGCTGTAGCTTGTAAACTTTTCTGGATAGAAATGGTTACACAGAGAACAGCCAGAGAGAAGCTGGTGGAGGAGGCAGGTGCAATTTAGGGAATACTGCCAGTAATGAGGTGACTGTGCTTGAAGTTCTTCGTAGATGTATAATTGCCAGAAAATGTGTCTTAAAAAAAAAAAAAAAAAGCTGCTGGTAAAAATGGTGTAGCAAAGAGGACAGTGAAGTAGCTTCTTTTGCCTTTCGGACTTGACACATCAAGCCTGATGTTAATTTGGCAATGGCGTCCTTTTTTGCAGGATTTGGGCTTTGTACCTTTGATATATAGCTTTGGGTTTGTACCTTTGATATATAGCAAGTGCTTGTGGAGTTTAGGAAAAATATCCACAACTAAGGAACAAAAACCCCACCAAAACTCACAGAAAGCAAACCAATGTAGACAAAATGCGGGGTTTTTTGCAAAAGTCCAAATCATAAGAGCAGTGAGGGTTCTGAGATACAAATAAAACATCACATGACCAAGGGTATTGGAGCAATGAAGGTGAGGGTGAAACTTGTGATGTCCTGAATTCCGTGGTACTTAATGTTTTGTGGCACAGGAAGGCCAGTGTTCACAGCAACGGGTTTGCATTGTGGAAGTGCGTATGTGTACTGTGTGGTCTCCTTGTGTGTATAATGTTCTTGAACATTTTGTTTTTAATGAGACTGCATTGTGAGTCTCAGTATTGTTTACTGTGCTATGCTGTACATACATCCAGGTGTGCTGCTGTAGGCATCTGTGTTGCATGCATGTGTGTATATAACCGTACAGCTGGGACATTTTTTGTTTTTTTAAAGCTGTCTACTCTATGCTATTTCTGCTTTGCAAGGACCCATGTTACTCTAACCAGACAAAGACAATTGGATGCAGCTTTATACAGGGATAAATACAACACTGCTCCACTGGGTTGAAGGGAGTCACGGGTGAGAAATAGGTGGCAGTTCTCTCCCTTCAGTCAGTGTCTCCCTCAGCGTGTCCTGGGTTGAGGTGCTCCACGTTGGCATAGAGACCAAAAACTTAATGATCTGCTAGCAGATGGTGCCAACTAATTCCTAAAATAACATTTAGCTTGGTGTTCTGTGTTACTTCCTGAGCTAATAAAGCAGAGCAGTAACCAATTAACTGAAATAAACGTCAGACAACTTTTTACAATTAGAGATTGACAGTGCAAACAGGGAAATGTCCTTGAGCTCCATAAAGAGTTTGAATGTGCTTGTTTTATAGGTTGTTCCTTCCCTGGAAAATAAGTGCAAGTGGAAGGGTGTTAACCCGTAAAAGATATCTTCACTCTAAGATGAAGAACTTGCAGCTTTCAAGGACAAGATTCTGTTCTCAAATCTGCGGTTATCTTTACTCCGTAAAATTTTGACCATCACGTACTGATGCATTAGATCTTTACTGTCAGCTTAAGGAAGCTGTTTTCTTCATTAAAGGACATCTGTCATTGTTTGCTACAACAATGTAAATAGCTTAACACGTACAACTATGGTCCCTGCAAGGTCATTGTTCAGAACTCAAGACTGCAGCTGTTAGGGAAGTTAGTACTTTTGGATGATCTTGATTTCTTTCCTTTTTTGTGTGTTTAGATTATGTATTTTATCATGAACCATAAAAGAAAAGCACTGTTATCACAAAGCAGCTATTCAGCAAGAGCTAACTTAATTTCTTCTGACAAGCATGCACCCTGTAGTACCTAGTTATCAGTTCAAACTGTACTAGGCTTAAGACATTCCTGGTTAATAAAAGTTAATTATAATGAATTGGTAGGCAAGTGTACCTTGTTTGTTAAAACTGATATCTTGGTTAAAATATGCAAGAACTTAAATGCCGTACCTGCTGTATTTGAATTCTGAACAAATGTTTAGACAGCAATTTCTTTACAAGCATTTTTTTAAAGAAGGTCTGTAATTTGTTGCAGCCTAATTAAATAACATTTCTTGAATACATACTTCATGTATGTATAATGAATGCAGATTTCTGAGCTGTAGATTTTTGTATTCAGAGCTACTTTTTTAGAATCTATATGCATTTTCTTGATGTTATAAATAGTAATAATTGTGGAAAATATTTTCAAGATGTTAAAGTTTTGAGTTTTTATTGTCAAATTATTAAGTGTTTTTAAAAACATTTATTAAGGACAAAGTATATCATTTGATAGGAATTTATTATAGGACTAGGGCTATCTGTAAGTGTATTTGTATGTATATGTGTGTGCACACAATTGTGTTGTTTTTAGTGTTTCGGGAGAAAGTAGTTTTAACTTTCTTTCATTGCTGTAGTATTTTTGATACCACTATTCTACTCCTTACTGATAAGAGTTACTGGTTTAAAGTGGAATTATTTCTTGGATTTGTAACCATCTGAGATCAGAATCTGTCCTTAAGGCTTAAATCTCTCTGTTACTTAAACACACCTATCTCTTTTGGAGTCACCTATGGTGAATTTTTATAGGTTTTACTGTTAGTTGATCAGTGTACTGTTTGTTGGATGGTGTAGCATCCCCATCGATGACACAGGAGTTATGTCAGCAGCAGGACAGGAATGTCAGACAAATATTTTTGTTGTTGTAAGGCTGTGGTTTCAAACGTTAAAAAAAAAAAGTGTCAGTAACTTGTGTGTGTGGAGGGAAGGGGAGAAATAAAAAGTGATATACCTTGCAGTATGTACCTATGCAGGTGTATCATGCAATGAGTGAAATTATAATCTTTAAAATGCCCCAGCAATATTTGTGAGTAGCTCATTTTGTAATTTATTTTTACAACAGGTTCCCGTAAAGAATCAGCTCCTCAAGTCTTGCTTCCAGAAGAAGAAAAAATTATTGTAGAAGAAACTAAAAGTAATGGTCAGACTGTTATAGAAGAAAAGTAAGAAAATATTTAATGAATTATGGATTAAACCAGTAAACTT